TTGCCAGATCTTGATCATGCACACTCAGGGAGGTGGGTTGGTTCTAGAGCAGCAACTAGGTCTGTCTCCCTTTCCTGCTCTAGGGTGTCCCCTCCCAGCTGTCTGAATTGCACTCCTTACCAAATTAAGTGTATCTTTTGGTCATTCTTCATTTAAACAGTTTAGATTTGCACAACATTCATTTTTAAATAAATGTCAGTTCTGGTTAATAAAAGGTCATGGCTCCAAACCTTTTTCATCTTTTCCCTGTATCCAGCCTAAGTCCCTTTCGTGTTTTGGGTCTATTTCTACAGACCAGATGTCAGCTAGACCTGAGGCATTGGAGGAAACTGGCCCAGCTCTTTCTTAAATCAGGAGTGATGGTGCCACCTACTGGTACTTGCTGTTAGCTACAGGCTCTGTGGCTGGTCCTGTTTCCTGGTGAAGTGACTAGGACCTGGGTGGGAGTAGCTGTAGTGTATTCCAGAACAGGTGTAATAATATGCAGCAATGGAAAGCAGTCTGAGTGGGAACACTATTTCTTGCTTACAGATGAGGAAACAGGCTTAGAAGTTGTGGTTGCCCAGGGTCACAACTAATAAGGGGCAAGGACAAATAGGAACAGGGCTTTCCCAACTGCAAAATTAACCACAAAAGCATGATTTGCCAAAGCCAGCAGGAGATTGAGGTGGTAACTGGACAAGGCATTCAATACCATGAATAGTGAGGACTGTCTTCCCTCTTCAGACTTCTGACTCGAACCTGCTGATTTTGTCAGTTCAATCTGATTTACTCTTTAAACCTTTAATAGCTCTTTAACCCTTGTTCATTTTAGTTTTAACAATGTTAGGTAAGCAACAGTATCTGTTAGAGATTTAAAATATTGTTTTCATTCAATTATTTTGGAGTTATCAAATTATCTTCTACTTCACGGTAAGCAACACTGATTTTCCCTATTTAGTGTTGTGATAGGAAGGTTCCATTTAAAGTAACTTTGTTTAGGTTTTAAAAGTGAATCAATTTTAGGGGGGAAATCAGAGGTAGGTAATAGTACAGGTTCTGACAATGTTATGGATGACTCACAAGTTTGGGAAATGTTACACTGTGCCCATCATCACTGACCTGCCCCATGACCTTGGGCAGTCTTGAGGATCCTTTCCTTGTTTGTAGAAAATGAAAATGTTGGACTAGGTGATCATTTAGGTCACACAGACCTATATATAATATGCTGTGATGTCTGGACAGTATAAGTCAGGCTTCTCCCAGGCTGGGCTGGTTACCCTGAGGAGGTGGTAACAAGGAATTCAGGGCCTTGACCTTGCTTCATACACTTTGCCTCTCCCCCAGGTTCCTTTCTTTTCCCTTTTTTCTTTCTTTTTAACATCCTTATTGAGATATAATTCACATACTGTAGTATTTGCAGCTGTGAAACCATCACCACAATGAACCCTAGAATATTTTTATCACGCCAGAAAGCAAACTCATACCAGTCACACCCCATTCTCCCCTAAGCATGCCTGCCCTAGGCAACCACTAATCTGTCTATATAGATTTGCCTATTATGGAGATTCTATATAAATGGCATCACATGTGAACTTTTGTGACTGGCTTCTTTCAGTTAGTGTTATGTTTTTAAGGTTTATGAAGTATATATATATCAGTACTTCATTCATTTTTATTGCCAAACATTTAATTGTGTGAATGCATCATGTTTTATTTATCCATTCATTAGTTGATGGATATTTGGATTGTTTCCATCTTTGGGCTATCGTAGATAATGTTGCTATGAACATCCATGTACAAGTCTGTGTGGACATGTTTTTATTTCTCTTAGGTATATACCTAGCAGTGGAATTGCTGGGTCATGTGGTAATTCCACATTTAACATTTTGTGAAATCATGAAACTCTTTTCTAAAGCAGCTCCACTATTTTACATTCCCATCAGCAACGTATGATCATTCCAGTTTCTCCACACCCTCACAACACTTGTCTTCTTTATTTTAGCCATCCTCATGGGTGTGAAGTGGTGGCACCTCATTGTGGTTTGGATTTGCATTTCCCTAATGGCTAATCATGTTGCGCATCTCTTAATGTACCTATTGCCTATTTATATATATTCTTTGGAGAAATATATATATTCAGATCCTTTGTTCATTTAAAAATTGTATTACTTGCCCTGGCCAATTTGGCTCAGCAGTTGGAGTGTTGACCCGCAGACCAAAGACCCACGGGTTCTATTCTGGTCAAGGGCATATACCTCGGTTGCAATTGGTCCCTGGCCCTGATCAGGGTCTTGGGAGGCAACCAATCGATGTGTTTCTCTCACATTGATGTTTCTCTCTCTGTCTCTCTCTCTCTACCCCCCTCACCGTCCTACTCTATTTAAAGATAAAAATGGAAAAATATCTTGGGGTGAGGATTAAAATATTTTTTTTTAGTTTTACTATTGCCCTGGCCGATTTGGCTCAGTGTTTAGAGTGTCGGCCCACAAACCAATGAGTTGTGGGTTCGATTCTAGCCAAGAGCACATACCCTAAGCATTGTTTTCTTTTTTATTCTACTGTAAATGGAAGTTTTCTTAATTTTATTTTCAGATTGTTTATTGCTGGTGTACAGAAATACAAATGATTTTTGCCCTGCCCAGGTGGCTCAGTTGGTTGGAGCATTATCCCGTATACCAAATGATTACGGGTTCAATTCCCGATTGGGGCACTTACGTGAAGCAACTGATCAGTTTTTCTCTCTCACATCAATGTCTCTCTCTCTCTCTCTCTCTCTCTCTCTCTCTTTTCCCTCTTCTTTCTAAAATCAATAAAAACATATTCTCTGATGAGGATTTTTTTTTTTAAGAAATGAAGTGATTTTCATACATTATTCTTGTACCCTGCAACCTTGCTGAGCTCATTTATCCTGATAGTTTTTTTAGTGGATTCCTTAGGGTTTCCTGTATACAAGATCATGTCATTTGCAAATACAGATAGTTTATTTCCTTTCTAAGCTACCTAGATTTTTATTTCTTTTTCTTATCTAATTGCCCTGGTTAGAACCTTTAATACAGTGTTAAATAGAAGTGGTAAGAGTGGGAATCTCTGTCTTGTTCCTGATCTTAAGGGGAAATAATTCAGTCTTTCATCATCAAGTATGATGTTAGCTGTAGTCCTTTAACAGATTGAGTGTTTTTATCATGAATAAGTATTGGATTTTGCCTAATGTTTTTCTGTGTCTATCAAGATGATCATGTGTTTTATGAAACCTTTATTCTATCGCTATATTATATCAATATTACATTGATTTTCTTACGTTACACCAACCTTGCATTTTTTGTTCTTAAATCCCACTTGGTCATTATGTATAACCCTTTTGTATGTTGTTGTGTTCAATTTGCCTGTATTTTGTTGAGGATTTTTTTGTGTCTAATGCATCAGGTATATTGATTTATGGCTTTCTTTTCTTGTAGCACCTTTGTCTTAAGGTAATATTGGCTTCATAGAATTAATTATGAAGTGTTATCTCTTCTTTATTTTCTGGAATAGTTTGTAAAGAATTGGTATTAATTCTTCTGTAAATGTTAGTTAGAATTTACCAGTGAAGCCATCTGGCCCTGGACCTTTTTTTGTGGAGGAAGCCTTTAATTACAAATTCAGTCTTTTTCCTTGTTACATTGTTTCTAACTTGGAGATAATGCAAGCTACTTATAGACATGCACTTCTATAAAGGGAGAGGGGATCTGGGAAGAGTGGGTCCAGCAGGAGTTTGCAAAGTTGGGGGTTTGTAGTTGGCCCTGCCTGGAGCCATGCCCCTCTCTCCCCTTTATTATTCCATATCTCTTAGAGGAAGAAGTCTTTCTTCTCCCTCCTGAATGAATGAATGCGTTTGAGGTTAGGACCAATAACCCAACCCTGTCTCTTAGAAAAAGTGGTGTGTAACATCACCTGACACAGGAGGGAGTTAGCATTTACACCAAGATAAATGAGAGCAGAAACTCTCTCAGGACTTTAAGCAACGGGGTGGATGTGAGTGTGTGTCTCTGTGTGTGTGTTTTTGCCTTGCTTCAAATATTAATAAAAAGTAAAGGGACCTCAGCTCTTGAGATTCCCAGATCATATGTGATAGACCCCATTCAGCCATTTAAAGAATGAGGTAGCTTTCTATGTGTTGATGTGAAATGATTCCAAGATATATGAAATGTACAAAATGGTACGCAGCCAGATGTGTTAGAAGAAGAAAAAATAGAACCTATAGATGCATATAGGCCTGTAAATGTAGAGTTCCTTTGGAAGGGCACCCAAGATAAGAGTCAGTGAGTTGGCCGTGTTTGCACATGTTTCTGTTGGGCAGCCTGGGCACAATGTATCCTTGGGGAAACAGCCACCCCACCTGGCTGTATGTCTCTGCCGAAGTGTGTGAGGCACAGTTCAGACCTCCATTTAGTTCAAGCCTCCAGTGTTTCTCCCTGATGAACTATTGTCTAAATCCATCTACCTTGAGGGAACTGCTGACAGATCTCAAAGGCCCTTCAAGGTTAGGTATTCTCTTTTGAGCATTTTCAGCAGCACATAAACCCTAGTCTGTTTTTCCAAAGTGAAAGGCTTTCACTGCCCTCTAGTCTCCCTGTGGAATTCTCTTCAGGTGGCCCCACAATAAAGCACTTTATGCTTTCTTGATAGGTCCAATCATCACACACACACACCACCACCACCACCACTACCATCACCAAATAAGTGAAGGTGCTACAGAAGTGGAGCAGATGCCAGAAGTCTTTGGACTTGCGAGGCCAAGTGAGCATGCACACTAGCAGCCTGTCCTTTTCTATTGAAGTCTGGCAGCATTGGCCAGCATTTGGCTTTGGGGAAAATGTCTACACTCTTTGCTCTCATCTGCGTGAATGTTTCCCCTCCTTCACAGGGGCTACCTCGGAAGCCTGGGGAGCATTCCAGCCTGGGCTGCTCAGATCCCAGGTTGACTTCTAGGCCTGGATGCAGGGCCTCAAACACCGAGGATCCTCCTGTCTCTCCCACAGAGAACACCTTCTGCAGTGGGGACCATGTGTCTTGGCACAGCCCTTTGGATAACAGTGAGTCAAGAATTCAGCACATGCTGCTAACAGAGGACCCGCAGATGCAGCCCGTGCAGACACCCTTTGGGGTAGTTACCTTCCTCCAGGTGAGGCACAGGTTGGATGAGGGCTTAGGTAGGGAGATTGAAAGGTACAGGAGATTTCCTTGGTCTTCTCTCATTGTCTACTCTCTGTGGTTGTTTGTCGAGTCAGTTCCGATGGTCTGATTTAACCTGCTGAGATGGGAGACTGGGGAAAGGAAAGGGACCATTGGGTAGAATGGTTGTAGCTGAGGGGGTAACAGGGAGGGTATTTTTGTGAACTAGTTAAAGCCAGGCAGCCACAGGCTTTGGGATACGCATCTCCCCAGAGGCCTCCTTGTGACCCTGATGGGGTCTGTTTCCCTTGACATTTACTAAAGGCTCAGCCCCTGATAAGGAAGGGAAATTTTCTGCCAGCTACTGGGCCCTTTGGTTGTTGTTTCGAGCTTGAAAAGCCTCAAAATCTCCTGTTTACATTCCCTACGATCCTAGATCTGGCAGGAACATCTCCCTGGGCCTCTTCTGCTTCCAGGGACATGGACTGGGGACTCTTCCTGAGTTGGCAGGGCCCTGATTTCTCTCCCGCAGTCTAGGGCTAGACTTTGTGTCACCAGACACCTGACCTATCACAGCAGGGCAAAAATCAGGCCTCAGTGCCACATCTGTGGACCCATCGATATCCTGGCCAGGTCAATGTTTCCTCCTAAGGGAACTATCCCATTTTGGATGGCACCAGCCCCTGAGCAGAGATTCTACCCGTAGTCCCATCACTTGAGGTGACATTGACAAAGCCTGGGTGGTAGACCTTCTGGATGGGTAGGAGGAATGGCCATTAACACACTATGGCATCTTGTCCCTGGGTCTCAGATTGTTGGTGTCTGCACTGAGGAGCTCCATGCAGCCCAGCAGTGGAATGGGCAGGGCATCCTGGAGCTGCTGCGAACAGTGCCCATGTGAGTACACCCCCTCCTTACCAGGTAGGTGCCTGGCTTCCCAGGCTTGGGGGCGGGACTCCCTCCTTCCCCCATATGAGGGCTTTCCCTTACATTACTGTTCAGTCACTGGTTTTCCACATCACATCAGGGCATCCTGACAACTCGTTCCCTGATGGCCCCGACCACTAACCACTCCTTTGTGTTCTGGGCCTGGGGCAACAAACAGAGCAGGCTGTAGGCCCAGCCCAGACCCTCTTGCCCCCTTTCTTTGTCCACAGCGCTGGCGGCCCTTGGCTGATAACTGACATGCGGAGGGGAGAGACCATATTTGAGATCGATCCACACCTGCAAGTATGTCTTGAGTGAGGAAAACCTTTCTAGCACACTGTACCTAGGCTTCTTCCAAATAACACTGGCTTTCATCCTGGAAAAAGAGGAGCTTTATTTGTGAGTGAGTAGAAATATGGTATGGTTTGGAATTTGTCCCCTGAATTCTGCAGAGTGCATAATGGGGCAGATTTCAGGCCAGGACAACTGGTCTTAGATGCATGCATTTTTGCATTTAAAAAGGATAATTTTATTCTATGAAAATCATATATCAGTAAACCTGACTTTAAAAAATAAGATCACCAGCAACTAAATCAATACAGTTGATATTGCTTGTCCAGTATTCACCCTCCATCTTCCCCCTTCTATAAAGAACATAGACTTTTGCCCTGGCCGGTTTGGCCCTGGCATTGGTCGGGGTCGGGTCAGGGACCTTCAGGAGGCAACCAATCAATGTCTCTCTCTCACATTGATGTGTGTGTGTGTGTGTCTCTCTCTCTCCCTCCCTCCCTTCCTTCCCCCAAATCAATGGAAAAATATCCTCTGGTGAGGATTAACAACAACAATAAAAAGCAACATAGAGTTTCTTTCAGGGAGCCATCCCACCACTGCTGCCATCACCCTGTAACAGACAGAATAGGTGATGTTGACTTCACAGCCCAGCTGCAGTGGGGAGCCCTGATTGGTCTAATAATCTTTTTTTTTTATCCTCACCCGAGAACATTTTTGCATTTTTATTTTCAGATAGAACAGGAGGGAGAGAGGGAGGAAGAGAGAGAGAAACACATCAATGTGAGAGAGACACATCGACTGGTTGCCACCCACACGACCCCAACCTGGGCCAGGGACAAACCGCAACTGAGGTACATGCCCTTAGCGGGAACCGAACCTGGGTCTCTCTGGTCTGCAGCCTGATGCTCTACTCACTGAGCCAAACTAGCCAGGGCTGATCTAGTAGTCTTATCCCCCTTTTAGATACATTTTCATTTTGAGCATTCAGGCACCAAGCTCCGTCCCTGGGTAGGTTGGCATTTCTTGATGTGTAAAGGAAGTCTTTTTTTTTTTTTTTTTTAATCCATACCCGAGGATGTTTTTCCATTTATGTTCAGATAGAGTGGGAGGGAGGGAGAGAGAGAAACATCAACGTGTGAGAGACCACATCGATTGGTTGCCTCCCCGCATAACTCCGACCAGGGCCAGGGACAAACCGCAACCAAGATACGTGTCCTTGGCCGGAATCGAACCTGTGACTCTGGTCTGTGGGTCAGCGCTCTAACCGCTGAGCAAAACTGTCAGGGCAGGAAGTCTTGATGGCTAAAGACCTGCAGTCACCCACTCGTGTGGCCCAGCTGTATAGAGTTTCAGTGTCACCTTTGATTTTTGACTAGAAGCACTCTTTTTGCATGTAAGTGAATTGTGAAAGCCACATAGAGCATAGCTTCCTTTCTTTTTTCTTTTTATTGATTTTTTAAAAAAGAAGGGAGAGAGAAAGAGAAATATTGATATGAGAGAGATACATTGACTGGCTGCCTCCTGCATTTCCCCTACTGGGAATCTAGCCCACAAACTGGGCATGTGCCCTGACCAGGAATCAAACCCAGACCTCTCAGTCCATGGGACAATGCTCAGTCCACTGAGCCACACCGGCTGGGCAAGCATAGCTTCCTTTCTCACAGGCTGCTTATGAAGCAGGAGCAGCAGACAACTAATAATCTGCCTCTACTTTTCCCCTGCCAATTGCAGGTCATTGGCATCTCCGAACCTTTTATGCCCCTGTAAAAATCTGGTAGGACACAGATAGCTGTCAGGAGTTACATGTCTTTTAGAAGGGGCAAGAGGTGGCAGGGAGGAGGTGGTAGGTAGACACATAGCCAGCAGTCCCTACATTCTTTACTGCAAACCTGTGAGTTCTTGGGTAGAATCCTACCCATTCACAGATGATGCTCCTCTGTTTTCCTAGTGCCTTTAACACTGAAGTTTTCAAATTGCTGCCAGGATCCTCTGTTATCTCTACTTTAAACTTGGTTTCTTTGTAGTTTCTGCTTATACAAGAACCAGGAACTACACCAAGGGTACGTGTCCCTGAGCCCTTGTTTTACAGTCACACTGGAATTCAGCATGGGACACTGTGGGTTGTTGTTTTGCCCCTGTCATAAGTGCCAAGTATTGAGAAAGACCTGTTCCTTTGAATTAGTAGGGTAAGCAGCCTGTTCTTTCTCTGCATGCCAAGAACAGTTCTCTTCCTAATCTTTAGGCTCCCCCGAGACCAGCCAGCAGGACTAAGAGCACCTAGTGGTCTTTAAAAGAAAGCAGGCAGACCTTGCTGAGAAAGTCCAGCTTTCTTTCCTGGTGGCTCTGTGCTCCAAGTGGGACTTCTCTGTGCTCACATGTGCCAGTCTGGGGCCTGCTTGTAAGCAGTTCATCTTAGAGCTGATGCTATTCCTTTGCCCCATCCTCTGCCACTGGCTAGCCGTGTGCCTAAACAAGTCCCTTAACTTCTCTGGGTCTTAACTCTTTCTTTTTTACTTATAAAGTAAGTGGTCTTAGTTGAGCCAAGAGGTGTTCTTAGCTTTTTGCTTCAGTGAGGGGCCTCAGGGTGGCCCCTGAGAGAGAAAAATTTAGTTTCTACCCTGAACAAACTAGGGCCTACTTGCTCCTGTCCCTGTCACTGCTCAAAAGCCCAGCTTTGCCCAGGCTAATGGTAGTACTAGAAAGGAAGAAGTGTGATTGATGAGAAGGAGGCATCCAGGGCAAGGCCTGGTCTCAAGAAATGAGGACCTTATGTAAGCTTACTATGCGCTTTCCCCGGTAGGCTCCCTGGCTGACCAGCAGCCAGTTTGGTGCCTGTGAAGGCGTGGGGAGAAGGGTGTGCAGACTCTTATTGAGGTGCTCACTCAGGAGCTTTGTTTGGCCCACGTGGTTGTTTATGAACAAGGTTACTAGAGCCTTCCAGATGACCTTTAATCCAACATCACAGAACTATGTTTTACCAGAAACCCCACGGGTGTTTGGGTACAGCTCTTCCTTAAGGCCATTTGGAGAGTGTTTGGACTCAACAGTGCCAAGGTCTGCATGAAGGCAGGGCCTCAGGTGGGGTCTGCAGATGGTCACTGCCCTCCAGGCCCCCATTTCATTCCAACAAATGGAAAAGAAACTCCATCCACAGTCCTTTGCTAAACAAGTTAGCAGTGCAGGAAGTCCTGCCCTTCAGCTCTCTGTGGTGCTTCACTGTGTGACCACACCCCCTGCTGTTAGAAGAGGAAACTGCAGATGTGGTGCCAGGGAGAAGTTGGTCTGAGTCCTGGCCTCTTCCACCTGTGGTCAGCATCCACCCTGTCCTCTGTAGCAGCAACTGGGGAGGTTCTTCCTAAATGATGAGAGGAGAGGAAGGACTGTGCTTTTCCTCAGGAAAGTATCAGCAACACAGGCCCACATGGGGTGAGCAGAGCCAAGGCTCTGAAACATATGAAGGTCATTTTACTGGAAGGTTGATGATAGAGAAGCTTCCCTTGAGATTTTTCTTCTTCCTGGCTTCCCCTAATCCCAGGAGGAGTCCAGTAGCTGGACTCATTGTTAATAGCCAGGGTAGAACAAGATCAGAGGTCCTGCTCTTCTAGCACTCGTCCCATGCTCAGCACCAACAAGGGCTCAGTAAATACTGGAAAGGTGGTGTTGACCTTGGGCCACCAGTTCGCTGAAGGAACTCTGGCTCTTTGGTTCTTTCTAAGCAGGAGAGAGTTGACAAAGGCATCGAGACGGACGGCTCTAATCTAAGTGGTGTCAGTGCCAAGTGTGCCTGGGATGACCTGAGCCGGCCCCCTGAGGATGACGAAGACAGCCGGAGCATCTGCATAGGCACTCAGCACCGGCGGCTCTCTGGCAAAGGTAGGAGCCGTCACCCTGCCTTCCTCTTTCCCTTTCCCCGGGTCTATTTTTCAGGCTCTATAGGATGGTTCTCTAACATAAACAGCCCATTCAATAGTTTCTTTCCTGGTAGGATTTAAACGGCATGTGAAGCCTTCCAACAGGGTGGAATTAAGAGAGCTTTATTGACCCATTTCTCCTGTGTTTCCTGTGTGTATTCCAAATGCACCACCAGCAGTGACCATTGTGTTTTAGATTTATCCCTTGCAATCTAAGGTCATGAAGGTGAGTGGACGCGATAGAACAGTTACAGGAAAAGGCCACAGTCCACCCAAGTACAAGGGAACAAGCGTCGACCACCCACAGAATTGACACAGGGCCCAGCTCTGGCCTGAAAGCCATGCCAGACCCAAGGATCACTCTGGCCTTGGGCCCTCCCAGGCCTTAGACAAGAGAGGCCTGAGTTTAAGGCCAGCTTGCAAACTTCTCTGTTCCACTGTCCTGCAGATACAGTGTTAGAGGTTGTGGGCAGGGGATCCTGTACCCATTGCATTCCGGGTCAGACCTTGGAGAAGGAGGATATGGCTCTCTTGTTGGAAGCTCATCATGTTGATCTTGGCTATAGAAACAGTTGTGGTTTTAGCAAAGGGCATCCATAACTAAAAAAAAAACAGCCATTTACACATATGTGTGTTTACAGCTTCTTTTTCTGTTTCCTTTCTCTATTCCTTCATCTTTTCTCATGTTTTTGAAGAGTAAGATACCTACAGTCCTGAATAAAATGCTTATATATGTGATAGTATTTATGAAAGGTTTTCTCTTTCCTTAAAGGACAACTTAAACCCCTAGCACAAATATCTGACCTCTTTCTTTCTGTCCGGCTTGTTCTAATGGTGTGCCAAGCCCATGGGAGGTTCCAAGAGAATCATTTAGTTGCTTTTGACAAAAGAGGAAATTTAAGGAGGAATTTCACCATTATTGAATATTTTTTAATTACAAAAAAGAACCTATGCTACTGTAACAAGTCAAACAGTAGAGTTAATAATTCCCTCCATCATTCACTCAGCCCATCCTTTGAGCAACTAATGTTTTGCTTTTTTGTATGTGTTTGCAGTTTGTGGAGGTAAGTCTTAGACCAAAGTTTCAATATAGGGGACCAGCCTAATAGGCTTCACCCAAAGACCAGCAAAGTACCTTGCAAAGAAATAATCCCACCAAGGGACTCCTCTCTCATTTCCTGGCCCATGCCAGACCCATGGAGAGGCAGGGTACCCTGGGCCATGGTGGGGAGATGACCTCAGCATCTCACTGACCCAGCCCACAGGGAAGGAGTGGCAGGACCAAATACTAGCTGGCCACCCAGAACCCAGAAACTTGTGTGAGAGATACCTGACCATTCATGGCAGGGCACTTGGAGCCCTTACTGTGGGCAGAATCTGTGGATGGTCTTGGGCAGTGGGAAAGGCCTTGGCAGTCCTGTCTGGAACTATGTTAAAGTTAAAGCTGGGGCCTTTGATTCAGGAAGGAAAGCACAGTGGAGGAGAGCTCTGCCTTGGGGGGCGCCCTTCTAAAATCCAAGGGCCATTCCTTGTCTTTGCAGGAATGGCAGTCTTTAGACCAGAAGCTTCTTGAGAGCATGATTCTTTATCAGCCCTGAGTCCTCACACTGTACTCAGATCTCACAGCTGATGCCTAGAGCAGGCCCAGGAGGCCTTCATGGGGCCCTTTCCCCAGCACGTCAGCAGAGCCAGGTTCCAAGGGCAGGGCTGGGGGATGCTGGGAGCCCAAAGGGCCTCCAGACAACTTAGTGGTGTTATTGCAGACACGGAACAGATCCGGGAGACCCTGAGGAGAGGACTTGAGATCAACAGCAAACCCGTCCTTCCACCAATCAACCCGCAGCGGCAGAATGGCCTCACCCACGACCGAGCCCCGTAAGTTTCCTACCCACAAAGGGAGTTAGCACAGCTTCCTGACAGCAGTGTCGCAGGGCTGGGACAAGGGGACAGTTTTATCTGAAAGGCCTATTTCTGTGGCTTGCATGAGAGAGAACAATGCCAATAGCCCTTGCTGGATGGGCTCAGGGTCTGGTGAACACAGATCTGTGGATCATAGATAGGAAAGGGCTTCAGAGGGGACCCAGTGGAGCAGGGATATAAACATTAGTAAATATTTACATGGGTTGTGTGAGCAGATCCGAGGCCAGATTGGGGCAAAATCTGAGTTGGGGCCTCCCAGCCTTGTGGAAGGCCATTGTGCTGAGCATGGCTCCCCTTCTTATCTCGGCCTCGACCAGAGTTGCCCTTCCTTCCTTCCTGGAGCCTGGTCTCCGGCTGATAGCTGTAACCCCAGGGGCCTCACTGTCTGGCCAGCCCCATACTGGACGCCTGCTACTGAGGCCCTTCTTCCTGCCTCCTTTCCATGGGGCCCAGGGCAGGGAAGGGAAGTCCCTTGCAGGCTTCTGCTGCCTATCCAGGGGCCTCGATAGCCCTTGGGAGAGACTGTGGCCACCGCAAGGTCAGATCCGTTTCCTGCTGACCTCTTTTCCTCTGTTAGGGGACAAATGGTAGGCAGGGCTGGAGCTGGGCAGCCCCCTCTGCTCTTAGTCCCAGAGCAGCTCTAGGGAATAGCTGCTGGCAGGGGATACCTGGGAGCTGGCAGGCCAGAGCAGGAACCTTGCTTGCCAGGGAGGAAGTTGCTGTGCTCTGGACTAAAAAGGAAGCAGCTCATTCCTGCAAGACCAGTGTGATCCATCCTTCTAAAAAACCTTTATTACACACTTGCTGTGTGGCAGGCTCAGGACCCAGAGGTCCATCTAGGATGTAGGCTCTTTTGCGGGCACGTTAACTATTAATTAGTTTATGTGAGTCTGGCTGTAGATGCAATTTTTTGGAAATAGCTACTGCTTTCAATTGTAGCTCCATATGCTCATCCACAAGCCCCAGAAGTGGTAGTGATTTAATCTACTGCAGAAAAGACAAGTCAGCGTGATCAGGAGTAGTTAGGGAAGGCCTCTCAGAGAAGGAAGAACATGAGATATGGACCCTGAAGGCACCCTGGAATTGTAACAAGTCAGGGAAGGAGCTGACAAGGATGGAACAGGGAGGTCTAGCTGGTTAAAGTTAATGCTACAACCTGGGAGCAGATTGTGGAGTAGGGAGAGTTACTCTGGGGACTGGCCCGCCCAAGAGGGCTCACTGGCAGAAGCCATGAGAATTGAGCTCTTTGGTAAGAGCCAGAGAAGCCTCCACTGCTGCCTCAGAGCAGTTTTCAGCTCCAGCCAGGGAGTTTCTCCATCCAGCTACCTTGAGGTAGCTGGCTTGAGGCACCATGATCATCCTTTGGCAGCAGCATATGGCCAGACCGGGTTGTGGGGCATCTGGAGACTCTCCACCTTTGAATCTGGACCCTGTCCCAGGGCCACACTCCTTCTTGTGCCCTGAGCTTGGCTTCTCTCTCTAGGCCTTGTTAGCACTGGTGATAGGCCAGGATGTACTGGGAGATTTAAAGGTTCAAGCAGATTGTCTATAACTTGCATACAGCCTTAGTCCAGATGGCCCTTCTAGCTCTGGAAGGTCTGGCTTTCTGGGCAGAAGGGCAGGGACTTCCATGGAGACACACCCCACTTGCCCCTCTTGTATATCTGATATAGATCTGAGGTCTCACTCCATCTTGGGCATATTTCCAGCTGCTAACCGCCCCCCCCCCCCTTCCCCCAGACATTGCAAGCACAAGGCTCTGGGTTTCTGGATGCACACATACAGCTCCTTCCGACTGGGCAGTGACCACCAGTTCCCGTCTTAGGGCTGTCTGTAGACACAAGGCAGAGGCTAGAGCCTCCACCCTTTGGCCTGCGCTGGCTGAGATGGGTGGGAATAGACCAGAGGAGCCAGCCCTCTGTAGTATCTCCCTTCCCTGCAGCTCAGGTACCCTGTCAGGTCTCCCAAGTGCCAGGATCTGCAGTTTGGAGGGCATCAGAACATTTCCTCTGAGGTTCTCAGTGCTGGTTACTAATTTGTTAGCAATTGGTTGAGAAATGGTTCCTCCTCCTTTGCCAAGAACATTTTCCAACATACCCCTCAAGTCTCTCAAGACTCCAGCTCCCTATTATCTCAAGATCGATGACAATGGACTCAGTTCAGATAAGCAAGCACAGTTGTAATATCTGTGCTTTCCACTCTGAGACTTGACCTCATTTCAGATAAACCACATGGATTGCAACTTAAAAAGCCAATTCCAAGTGTGCTGGCACCACTCCTCTCCCTGTGGGGAGCAACCAGCACAGGCCTCATTGTGTCTACATGTCTGATTTTCCTGTAGTCAGGTTTTCTGGGCTGGGCACTCGGACGCATGGGGCTTCATGGGTCTGAATGTGGCCTGAGGAAGCTGCAGTTCAGAGGAGCTGATGGAGCCTGGACATTAGCAGCTGGGCTCTGGCCTACTTGGGGAATCAGATACTTGCTCTTTTTATACCTCAATCACTACATTTAAATTGTACCTAATATGTGCCAGGTGATGTTCCAGGTGTTTTATAACATGTGAATTTAGCTCATCCTCAAAGTCACTCTATGAAGTAGATAATCTTATAGATGAGGAAACTGAGGTACAGAGAGGCTAATGAGCAACTTGCTCAAGATTGGAAAAGGGTGGAACTTACATCAGGCTATTAACCATTAACACGGTGTGATCTTCCTTACCCCATGATCTGGGACCCTAGGAGGGACACACAAGACTGTGTCTCTGAGATGGTAATAACCCTCACTAGTGGGTCTCATCTAACTAGTTGGCGCATGAATAGAGATCTTTCACATGACATCAAGGACAAGACTAAAGCCCGGTGTTAGAACTCACTGTGCATATTTAACCCTAGAGAGGACATGCTGTCAGCATCATGCTTCCAAATCCCACAAATAACGAGTTGTGTCTGTGTCATAATTGGCTCATTTATACCAGAACTACTTTTTGACACAGAGCCTTGTTTTCTTCATGTTCAGAAATAAAACCAACCTTATCTCTGGCCCCTCGACCACCTCAGAGGTTTGGGATTTCTTTCTTAATTGAGGCTTTACTTCCCGCTTCCCAGGAAGACAGACCTCTGGGCAACCTGTACCTCTCCCACTAACCCTTGCCAGCCCTCTGCCCACCGCCTTCCCGAAAGGAGAGTCCTAGGCCCTCTTTGGGGCTTCTTCCAGCATTTCACAACCCTAGCATTCCATTCGTGAAATTTATATCTGGCTTTTCCCAAGATGATCAGTTGAGAAAAGCCTCCTTAGGTTTGGCTGGCGCCTTCCTTCCCACTGCCTGCCCGGGTGAGTTTGCGAAGCATGGGAAGCATTGCCTTTGTGCCACTGAGGAGAGCCTGGTTTAGAGACTGCGCCTGCCAACACTTGTATGGACCTGGGGGGAAAAGTCACTGGGTATCTTCTCTGTCTGAGGTTGCTCCGGTACTGGGAAATTGCAACAGTGTCCCAGGCCTCCTCTTCCCTCTGCCAGTGACTCAGTGACTGGGTTGGGGGACCTTTCAGGAGCTCTGTGGGTCAGTACCCTCCCAGAGAGGGCAGGGCTCAGGTGCATGTGTATACACATGTGTTGGCGGAGAAAGTTCCTGACTGTGGAAAAATCTCTTAGTAATTGAAGCACCTTTAAAAAACAAACCAACCGTCCTTACTATCTGAGTTTCTCGGTTTTCTGGAATTGTACCAATAGCTTTTTTTTTTTAAATCCTCACCCAAGGATATTTTTTTATTTATCTTCGGATAGAGTGGGGGAGAGACAGAGAGAGAGAGAAATATGGACGTGAGAGAGACACATCGACTGGTTGACTCCCGAACGACCCCAACCAGGACCAGGGACGAACCGCAACCCAGGTACATGCCCTCGGCGGGAATCGAACCCGTGACTCATTGGTCTGCGGGCCAATGCTCTAATCGCTGAGCCAAACCCTCCAGGGTGTACCATAGCTTTTAAGGTTTGTGTTTTTTTTTTTTCTTTTTGTCTTAATTTCCCAGAATTAAGGTTTTGAATTCTGTTGTGATATTCTCAGCTGCACCCTCCCTGCAGCACACACACATGTACATACACATAGATTTCTCTCTACTTTTATGAGTGTCTCTGCTCCCATTTTGGGGGGGCTCTTGGATGGGGTGACTTTGCTGCCTGTCTTCCCGAATCTTGAATAGTTTGTGACCTGGCTAGAAAGTCATCATTTAGAGAAAATTGTGTTTTGTTTTGCTTATCCTTGAAGCCCATGAACATTAATTAGGAGAAGAAAATAGTTTGCATCCAGTGAATTGGGTGAAGGAAGGTGAGTTTCCATCTGGGAAAACAGCTGGGCTGTTGCCATCACCATTTGCATGCAGTGCTGTCTTCGGGAACCGTTCTAAGGGGTCTGTGGCATCAGTGCAGTGGCCAGCTCAGAGCCTGTATCTGTCACATTGGCTCCCCTCATCCTCCCACGCTGGAGAATACGGTTGTTTCCACAGGAGAGAAAACCCAGAAAGAAACAGGCCTACCGCAGACCAGAGAGTCCCAGGTTCAGTTCCTGCTAAGGGCATGTACCTCGGTTGAGGTTTGTCCCCGGGCCCTGTTGGGGTCGTGCAGGTGGCAACCAGTCGATGTGTCTCTCTCACATCAATGTTTCTCCCTCTCTCCTCCTCTTTCCTTCTCGCTCTATCTGAAGATAATTGCAGAAATGTCCTCGAGTGAGGATAAAACAAAAAAAAACAGGCCTTCTATCAGGGCCTCAGCCAGGCCCCACAGACCTGAGGAGGAAGGACCCAGGCCTCTGATTCACGTGCTGAGTCCCTGCCTTTATGTGCTTTTCTCAGAAATACACCTTTGAAAGGACAAAACAAGGGGCTCCAGAGCAGCTCCGACTCAGTGAATTTCTGTTTGAACTCTGTTCTCTGCTCCACTTCCCCAAAGAGATGAAGCC